CTTTGCGGGGGATCTCGATATTCATCTTCCTCTCCGAACCGAAAACCAAGTATGAGCGAGATGCATTGTGACAGTGACTTTCCTTAGCAAGGGTGAAAATCCAATCTTGCTTCGAACTTCCCCGCTCTGCTGATAACCCTGACAAAGGAGACGAGGGACGAACAGCTGTGGAGGATTTTATTCGAGAGGCTTACTGCCGTGCCCTCGAGCCTTGTTCCGGGTGAGAGAACCCGGTTACTGGAGGAGTTCGTCGGAAAAGTATTCACGAGACGGAAGGCTCAAAAAGATTCTCCTGGATTTAATTTGGTTGTCCAACCTGATCCCTGCGGCTGGGGAGCTGGACTTTGGAACTTCGGAACTCCGGAGGAGCGAACTTCGAAAAAAACAATCGATTCCAGGAAACCTTAGGATTCCAGGGATTCAAAGCTCTCGGAACTCTTCCGTGTTGTCTGTGAACTCGGGGTAAACAACAATCTCCTCTGGCTCCCCACATAGCTCCTGAAAAATTCCACTCTCTAATGCGAATGTCGGTGGCTCACGCGTGTACGTGGTAGGGAACGTTCTTAATTAGTCTCTCATCATAAGTTGATATTAATAGACACGCAGACGACTTTTGGAATCACGCCCCTACGACCGAAGTTCGGGACGTGATTTGCAGTTTCAGACATGCAGGCGACCGCCGGCGTCGTGGCTGGAAAGCTAACAAGTGGCCATACCGAATAATCTTCGCATCCTTAAAATATATCCGGCGCTGACGAGGGCTTTGAGGCTGCTCCAACGGACATTTCAGATTCCTGATTCACCTCATGGCCGAAAGGAGAAGCACGAGATGATTCAAAGAGATGCGGAACCCCTCGACTTTGACCTTCACTTCTGCGGTCTCTCAGTCAGCTTTACCGCGAGCGCAGGTTGCTCGCGTCTCTCTACACGCAACCTCATCCTCGGAACATCCTCTGCCGGCTACTTACGAATTTCATTAGAAAGGTCGGAACATCAATCACGACCATGGGAGAGCTCATGACCACGGTAGTCGCTATAGTCGTCAGTCGTGATAGGAATCGCCATCTGTGACGTCCGTGTCGAACATTCATCTTCCAAACGGCGCAGCGTCGCGAGAAGCGAGATCCTTCGGCTTCAATACGAAGGAAGTCTGCAGAACACGCTGTCGTGAATGAGCTCGACCCCGCCATATCGTTGAGACGAAATTTCAGGAGACTCATCGTTGAAAAACGGCTTCTTGTGGAGCTCGCTGCATGAAATCTCGACTTTTTCACAAGCCGCGAGCTCCAGGCGGCCGGAGCCAGATTGAAAAAAATTATCGTCCGCGTGGGGATCTGTTTGGTCTCAAGTATGAGATCCGCTTCGGCTTCAGATAAGGCAGGACTGGTTTCCTGGGAGGAGAGAACAGAGTCGTCGGAGATTGCTCCGAGCTCATTGATTCCACTCGGAACAGTCCCGGAGTGAATCGCGGCGGCCCCATCTTGGCGACAAACGCTCTCAATCAGGAATTATCTGTGGGTGGCAGTGAATCCGCGGCCCCGGTAATGAACAGATCAATCAAATTAATGGATGACTTCTGTGGCGCTCGCTGAGCAGATCCCATGCAGACCGAAGGCTCACGGGGAGGAGGAAGGAGAGGACAGGTTATCCTTCGGAAAGGGCTTCTCGTTCAGGATTGGTTTCAGGAATTTCCATGTCATCTGCAGGTGTCTCTTGATGAAGATTTTGCGGGAGCACTCAGGAATGGATCAAGCCAACAGTTCTGTTCTCGTCACTCTGTCGAGATAGGATCAATTGATTTTCCTTCGTGATTGGAGACGGCGATTTTCTGTCAAGACAACCGGAAACGAGATGAATGTCTTACGATCCCGAAAACTGGAGTCGGTGAACTGATCGACGCATCCGCGGCTCGATTCAACCAGGCCTTCCCTAGCCTCATCGCCACTCATCGGAAGGTTACGGTTGCCTGTTTATCCGGGGAAACGAGTTCCGGGATTTACGAGCGTAATACATTTCGCATCCGCCGAAGCTTCCACCTGGGAGCTCAAAGAAGGCTGGAAAGCTCTCTGCGGGTGCGAGTTCCGGCTCACGAGGTGTGGTTTATGGGTGAAGCACATGTCCGAGGCTCTAAAGGCCATATTTGGCTATCCAAGGCTCATATCGATAATGTACTGTGTACTGGACGGTGTTGTTCTGTCGAGCTTCTGCCCGGTGCAAAGTTTCTCGCATATTCTGTCATAGGTCGTAGGTTTGCTATGCCATAGAGCACTGCTGCAGGCTTCTATCGCCGGGAACTTCGGATATGAGCAGTTTTTCATTTCCACGGGATGCGGTCTCTGAATGCGGTTTAGTGACAAGCAGAAAGACGGACGCACGGACGGATAGAAGGACCAGCAGACAAACACGGGAGCGTCGCCTCTGCTCTGGCTTCCCCATTATAAACGTTCGCAGTTCGTTGACCCGCTCATTCACCGAATTGAAGAACTCTTGCTCGCGTCTACGAGTCCTCAGTGGAAGATTCCTTTTGTTGAACAGAAATCCGTTTTGCTCAGTCAAACTCAGTTTGAATAAATGCTTGCCTTCGCCGATATCACCATGTCAATGAAAAATTGTAGGGATCGCTTTGCAACTCAAGCTCGGGAACTTCCACGCAAATTGTCCGCTCCGAGATCTCTCAGCGACAGGAGTCGCCGAATGAATTCGAGATCAGAGTGCCTCCGAGGCTGTAATCAGATCTAGTCCGGCTACCTAGGTCGGGAATGTCGTTCTCAAATGAATAGATACCTCTCGATTGTCAATTAGTCTACGAGATTCCTTCCCGCGTGGGCGAAAACATCGGACAGAGACGGCCTGTTCGCGGAAGATGGGATCGGATGGAATTCTATCGAGTCGTGCGTAACTCACAGACGCGGGATTCGACACGCTCACCCGAACGTCCTTCGATCACGTCGCAGACGATCCTTCCGACTAGTCACTTGAGGCATGTGACATCGGAGAAAATACATTTGGGGACCTCTTCTTGTCATTCATCGCCCGATCGTTCTACGAGAATACGACGGACCGCCGTACAAATGCGCTGATGACTTGATGTCCTTTGTCTGCTTGAAACTCCATCTGAATATAGGTATGTATATCCATGGGATTCGCTTCGAGAATCCCAAAAAACTCAGGAATCGCAGGAATCCATGCGAGTGTTCCGCGGGGCTCCGGGCGGACTCTTAGGGATTCGAACATGATACTTGAACGTGGAAGCTTTCCCGGCGTCGAAGAAGCCTCTCGGGTGATATTCTTTGGCTACTCGATCTTTCTGCTTTGCTCATTCGAGGAATCCAGCATCGAAGCAGGAATTTGTGCTGGAAAATCTTCAGATCCGGGCTTCATGAGATGCAATCATAGATGCTCCGATCAGGGAGTACGATTGCCCGATCATCAGGAGCCGCCCACAATGTGGAATCGTGGTGCACGGATCATCGGAATTCCCGACGGGGTGGGTCTCCAAGAGCCCTCAGAATCATCATTGACTCGACCTCGGATTTCGGACTGTCAGATTTTTTTCCAGAGCCTCGTCCTCATGGTTGCGCGCGGGTTTCGTGAGTGCCGAGAGAAACGCGACCTCGACCGAGGATTCAGCGCATCGATAGCTTATAGATGGAGAAATACGCGCCACGCGAACGCTCCAAATCAATTCCATACGAAGGAGAACCTCGAGATTCCACAGCCCAAGTAGGAGCCATAATCACGCTTAAAGCGATGCTTGGAACTCTAGGATACTTTATGATGTCATCAGGATGTCTGCATATCGGGCAACTATGCGGAGAGGCCGTGTGAAAAGGAAACGCGTCCATTGTTTGGGAGGCTAATCTGTTCTGTTACATAATCGACTCCGACACGAGGCATAGTGACAGCTTTTCGTCGCATACGATACAGCACACACGAGTTTGAGCTTAAGGAAAGCTTTAGGAAGACGGATTGAAGATCTTCTAGCTCGTACAGCCCAAAGTGAGGAACGAATTTCACCATCGGATTTCTAAAAGAATAGGGACCGCATGATGTCACAGTGCGGAAGATTCACCGATGAAACGATGAGAAAGTAGTTTCGTCGGCTATCACTGTTGATATCGACACGGTGAGGATGTGAAACTGCGTTTTTCTCCCGTCCGTCGGTCATCGAGAGTTCAACTTCAGAAAGCCCAAACTGAAGGCATCGCGGAGTGGGAATTCGACTTGGCACTTTGTTGGAAGTTGAGCCGCGACCCGATGAGAGAATCCCACAATATCTAACTCGCGGCGTCGGATTTGGGACTAAAAGCTCCCCTTCTCACTTTCGAAGTCTTCCCGGAACGGAGCGAGATAGCTTAAATAGAGTCACTGATTTGAATTATAGATCGACCGAGGACATTATCGAGGGACCGACAGCAACAGATGGTTCCCATCTCGGTGATCGAAGTGTGATTCCGCTGTGATCACTACCATCAGAAGGTCACCGGGCCCGAGTAAAAGTCGGACGCTCTCGGAAGCGCCGCTCAGGGATCCGAGGGAAAAATTAACCCCACTAGCGCTCGTTAGACAGATGATCTCTTCGGTTCGATGTACCTACAGCGAAGGAGGACTTCAGGCGCTGACATCTCATGATAATGCCGACAAACCACATACTGCTTTCGAATGCACCGAGAGAAACCATTCACGATCTGAGTTCATCCGTGTCTCCAAGCGGTAGAGGCCGAGAAAACGGTCACTGGCAGCGTCTCGGCGGGAATTTTCCGCTTTGGAAACAACCGATACCGTCACGGAACTCGCGTAACGTCCATTCCACCTGGAGCCGAGAAATTCCTCAGATGATTCCAGCGATGGCCCAGGGGAACAGGAAATTCAAACTCCCTAAATTTTGCTTAAAAAAACACCTGACATGCGGCATCACGTCGATGTCTGGGCACCCCGGCTTGTCGCGGTGACCCGATAGTTGAGGAGCGGTTCACCAACCGGTTCTGAGTGAGACTCACCATTTGCTCTAGCCGGATCGGAGTCGGAAGAGTCGCATAGCATACGAATTCCGTGTCAGCTGATTGCCGGATCGAGAGCCGACAGGCACGGTTGAATGCTTGAGCGGCGGGGGTACGTCCACTGGCCGGTACGCGGGTCACTAACGTCACGTCACTCACCGCACGACACGAGTCCGACGTACGGGACGAGCTGCTGCATCCGGCGGGCAGAGCACTTTTTTGACAGCTCAGCTGCTTGAAGAACAAATTCTCTTTCCTTCGTTCGAGGGGAAAGAGTTCAATAGTGGTCGCTTGCCGCTCACAGCCGCCGCAGCGACTACGCCTGACATCCAGCAGCTAGTGTGGCACCGCTCTGCCGTCGATGTCCGTTTTGTCTGTCCAGGGTGGGAGAAAGGATGGTAAGCGGGCGGCTGTAGGCGGGCAGACGGACGGATAGATGGGCAAGCAAGCCGACGGGCAAGCTGGCCACGGCCGATCGCCCCAGAGAAATTACGGAATCCTGAGTGAGGGGAACGGCAACAAATGTCTCATCCGCGAACACGACGTTGACAACCACGAAGACGACGAGGATGATAACTCGAGCTGAAGAGAGGGAAGATCGAACCCCTCTCGATGGAGGAGAGTAACGCGCCAAATTTGAACCCCCGGAGAGGTTCGCAAGATCCTCGAAAATTTCGCGCCGCTTTCCGCGGGCTCTCGGGAATCCCAATGAGATGAGTTATTTCAGCCGGAACAGGTCAAGCATCGTGGCGCTCGATGTCATCCGCCAAATCACGCGTGGTCTCTGCCTCCGCTGTCGATCGCTTTCGGCATTGCAGAAACGCGCTGACTGACCGCGCTTAGAAGAACAGCTTTCCGATGTTCGCCTCTCCAGGATGACTGAGAATTTTTGCTCCATTCAAACGAGTTTCTTCGAAGCATCGAAGACTCCCTGACACGATCGATCTTACACTACATGAGCGAATTCGTTACGGGAGTGCTGCAGATAAGCGTCCTTGGAACGCGGTCATTGGAGCGAAGGCGCAGTAGAGATCGCGCTCATTATTTCTTTCTACTTGAGTGAGTAGCGACTGATAGGACCCACAGCAAGACGGAACTGTACACGGATCGCAGGCGCTAAGAATCGAGGCCCAGTGCCTGGAGGAATCTTTCATGATTCACATTTACTCGGGTTGAAGAACTCAAAGACCCGAAGACCTTGGAGGGAATTTATTTTCTCCACGTAAAGGTTCCGCGACTTCTGAGGTTTCCCGGAGTCCAAAATGAAACAATTGAAAGAGACTGGACCCTCTATGTAGGTATGTCTTACATCCCTTTGCTTTCACTTCCAATCGAGAAATTTCTTTTTGATGAACGTCATTGAGCAGGGGAGGAGAGTACCCACAGTACAGAGAGCAAACCTGTATGTGTCTAGAGGAGTTCCGTCTGACGTCACCTCCAGGTTATATCTCAGGATTGGGAGGGGGATGTGTAAGCCCTCATGAAGCGCTACACGAGTACAAACATCCGATCGCCCTCAGGGCGACGCCTAACGAATTGCTGACTATTCCCCCTGGAGAATCCGCTCGATCTGGATTGGAGGGAGTCGGCTAACAAAGCCCGCACTAGAGATCTCTCGCCGCTGCGAGACAATCATAAAGTCATGGGTGTAGCTTCCTCACGTATCGCCTCTGACCCAGAATGTCTTTCCTTCTCCTCGAAATTTTCTGAGCCAATCTTCCGCCGACAGATGACGCGAGTCCGAACGACTTTATCTAAAGCTGCAATACTACAGCTATCGCAGGGCCTATACTCAGATTCAATCGGACGGAACGACTCACCGACGTTGTATCAATTTAGAACTTCCAGGATCGCGACTAAGACCGCCCTCACTCTTCTCCGTTCAAAGAGAGCGGAGCACTGACCGGAAAGATATCCATATATCCATAAACACACAATCACATATGTATCTGCAGACTACCATACCATCAATCCTTTTTTGAAGAAACTCCGACAGAAGAGATTCATTATTTTCAAGTGAAGGATCTATTCATTCGATCGAGTTTGAAAAAAAGGAGATCGCAAGACTCACGTCAGTGTGTGCCAGGGAATGGCATGCTCATGTTTCAAACATGCGCTTAGGAATATGGCCTTGGAGTAGTCGGCCGCGCATCGAGATCCGCCTACTACTCCGTAGTCCAGCATTGGCTTACTAACGTTGGCGACTCCTTACGGCATTTCATCGAGTGCAGTCCCCATCTGTCGATTCGGGAAGCCTGACGTATTCATATACTACCGGATCGAAATTCCGAATGAGTAGTCGTAGTAATCGCGAACTACAGTTTCCCCTGTGACTAGAAAGTCGGGAAAGTCTACTCCATGCCCACCACATGACTGACGAGTGGAGCTTCGATTTTACCGGACACTTATGTTCTATGTTCGCTTCTAGCTTGAAAATGTCCGATAATCGAAGCTCTTCTGATGAATACGTAATTTCCGGCTTCTGCGGAAAGTTCCGCCTCGACGCAATATCTCCATAGGTTTGGACTAAACCGATTGCGACCCCAATCCGTTGTGGGTCGTGGTGCCGAATTCCATGATAAGATATCCTGTCCGCCGGTGCATGCTGATGTCGCGAACCCTGCCGGTTTGCGCTCGGACGTCATACATGGTCGTTGAGCTCTTCGGAGGTCAGCATAAAACATAAGATATTCTGCATGAAACTGATATAATCTTCCATAAGGAGGTTCAATAAATATATCACGGGACGGTGTACGGAGGACGGAAACCTGCAGTTACGCGCGGCGCATAACTTCGTCGTCGTGAGTTCGGTGATGGGTCGCCATCATGGAACAGAGGTAGTTACTCGTGGTGATCGGACTCGCACGGAGGTCTACTCCGGGGTCCACGAATCATCCAGTCCACCGTCCACCCTACCGTGCCATTTCAGGATTTTACGGTGTCTTCAATATCCATATGGTAGTCGGAGGGGTGCGAGACAACATCAGAATTCTTCAAACCAGATGTTCTTGCAGCGCTTTGGAGACTTCATGAACGCGATGATCAATCGTTACCTCAAGTTGAATAGACATCCGCGTCCGTCGACACCCGGCTGTGAACAGAGATCCTTGGACGGACAGAATTCCAACACCAATAATTCAGAATCCAATATGTCCACGGATTCGAGTTCGAACGGCAGCACGTCGAGTCTCAACCGTAGAAACTCAAATAACCACGGCGACTCGAACGATCGAGATCGAGAAGACGATGCGTTCGAGAACGAGCCAGAACGGAACAAGACCCTGCACAGACTCCTCGAGAATTATCAGAAATTCTCGAAGAACGAAGATCCCATAGGATCAGTGATCGATCACTACCGGGAGAAAGGAATTCATCTGGAACGAGTTGAAGTCTTGGAGAAAGTGATGCATCTCCAAATGGAATCACATAGAGAGCAGATGATCTCCAACGATATCAATCAACTGCTCTTCGAGACCGAAGACTCATCCAGCTCTCAGGGTTCGAACACCAGCTTCGATGGCAGACCGATGAGGAGTTGCGCTTCGGAATCTGACAACGACACCTCACATAGCGGAAGACCTCGACCGCAGTTGAGCTTGGAGGCTATCCTCGAGAACCTTGGCAAGCAAGGCAGGACCCCAGACGTGCTCTGGATACAGAAGGTCCTTCTCGAGATGACCCACATAAGCTGAGTAAGTTCCCGGAGTCGAGAATACGTATACCGGAAGAATATCATTCGCCCCGCACCGCCTACCGGCTTGGGCTTCTGAAAAGATCCTTCAATGTGGCTTTCGCCATGATTGATCTTTTCCCTTCTTTCAGTCAACCAATACAAACGACCGTCGATGCGCTCTCCGATCGAAGCTTTATCGATGTATAGTTTCTTGTTGGATCGCGACACGCCGGTGGTTGATTTCTCTTGCCAGCAGTCCCAAGCTCTTCAAAACGAGACGTTCCTCTCGCTCGTGTTCCAGGTCGGCTTGAAAGTCAGTCCGCAGAAACAGATCAGTGCGCCGCGAGAGCTTTCTCTCAAGCAGCTTGTAGAGAACGCGAGCAAACTATCGGTTTCAACCGAACAAGGTTCGTTTGGGTGCTGTTTTTGAAGATCTTCAGTAGGGCTCGAGTGGCCAATAATTTCAATAACTCGTTCTACGAGTGAAAATGTGATATACATCCTTTAATGTAGAGCTCTGGAGTGGGCTTCTGGAATCCCACACACCAACCACACTCGTCGTAGGTTGACAACAAGAAGCAGACAATAAATCATTCTACCTCGATCACTCAATCGTCTCCATTGTGTCTTCCGTTCCTCCGTAGTTCATATCATTACATGGTGTCAGAAGTGGGATGAGCGACGCGAGCCGTGGACCTGGGCTGGGAGGGAAAAATAATCTGTCCTTAGCTTAATGACATACTTTCCACGACAACTTTGCGCTGGGAAAAGGGGCATAATATTTCAAGTATGAGCTCGTTCTCTCGAAATACGGTTTTCACTCACCTCTCGGTGCGAACAACGCGATGATCACTATCAAGATGCAGAGGAGGATGGGTCCGTAACCCAGGAGAGGCTGGAATAAGTTTGTGGTCGTCTTATTTCTCCACATTTTCAAAGATTTGGGAACTTTTTTTCATGGAGGTGGTCTGTCGTCGATCATGGAAAATATCTCGTTATGACAAATTTATGAATCTAATCTCATGAAAAGATGTGAAGTCAATTGGGTATCCTATGCCCTATGCGCTCCGGAATGAGTCACCTCGGCATCCTACGGCTCCGCAATAATTCACGTGGGTGTCCGACGCGCCCCGCGGAAAGTGACTTTGCAGTCCTCATCGTCCTTGGATGGCATAGAAATCACCAACTCTTTATTAGGGGTCGCGACCAAAAAATGTCAAGCCTACCGAGTTCATCGTTGTAGAAAGCACTCTTCTAGTACCCGGGAAATCTTTGAAAGTAAACAGGCACGGCCTAATTCACGGTTCCCCGCTACTGGCGTCAAGTTAGGGACGGTTGGGTAGAAGGCCTGACTTATACTACCCGTAGCCAACAATTGAAAATCCGTCATCGAACATGCATTCATTGTTCTCCCCGCTCGAACGACGCGCGACGTTCCAACAATATCGGAAGGTTTAATCGAGAAAACTCACCGCTTCGCGGAGGCTCTTATTCGTTGACTGCCAGAGTTGTTAACATCGGCCTTGCTCCGGAGCGCCCCATTTGGCCGCGACCGTTTGGCCGCGAGACGTTTGGCCGCGACCGTTTGGCCGCGGGACCTTTTGGCCGCGGGACCGTTTGGCCGCGGGACCATTTGGCCGCGGGACCGTTTGGTCGCGGGACCCTTTGGTCGCGGGACCGTTTGGTCGCGGGACCGTTTGGTCGCGGGACCCTTTGGCCGCGGAACCGTTTGGCCGCGGTCTGGAATGGGTGGAAATACCCGCAGAGGTTTTGGAGACCTTCCACGCGAAAAAACATGAGCGGTGATATGATGCGGAATGTAGCGCTCATGTCACGTTTGATGTGCATGAAATCGAACGAGATTCCCTTCGTGTTTATGCCAACGTGCATCGATTTCGTGACGTGAAATGTGGTTTGACCAAACCTCTCCCTCCGAGCGCTGACTTGAACAGATACTTTCTCCGGAGTATAGACACTTTCCAGTGAGTACGGCGATATCATCATGGATCCTAGCTTGGGAAAGTTTATCGAGTGCCTATACTGCATACCCGTGGATTCCGAACGGTAATCCCTTTCTCGGATGCAATGACTTGGTGCGCGTATGCGCTCAGGCTGACCGATTACGGTCGAACTAAGCGCGATCCACTCTCCTTTCCATCATGAACAAGTCTTCACGGGACCTTTCGAAGAATACTAACTTTCGAGCGGCAATGAAATTTCTGTCCTTTAATTTATTGCTCTTATCAACAAAGCAATCCATACTTTTTGGAATGCTTGATTTCACACAAAGATTTGTACGTGTGCGCAGTCACGTTTCAAAGGCTATCACAACCACATCGATTAACAAGAAGAAGTGGCTACACTAATCATCGGTCATCGTCCACAAAGAAAACACGATGGAGGTTTCAAACCCCAACTTGAAACGTGGATGCCTTAGCGCATCGAAGCCCCAGCCCCAGCCCCTATCGCGTTGGACGCCTCCATCCTAAAATTTTTCGCTACCCCCCGCAAGAAGTCGATCGTCGTTCGGTTGTTGTATTCATTGACAACCTTCAGGATGCGCTCGTCAGCTGCGATATACTTTCTCCGTTTCGGGTCCGGTTGATGACCAGCCACGAAACGTCCGTAGTCGACGTCCCGAGCCTGCTGGACGTTTCGCAAACCATCGATTTGATTTCCACAGGCTCGGGTGGTCTACTCCGAACTCGCCTTGCAGCCGCCGATGGGCGGCTTCGGCAAAATTGTTCGTTCGGCCATCCCCATCCAGAGTGCGTTGATATACGGACCACATAGCGATCGGAAAACGCGGATCGGCGCGAGATACTTCTCTACGGGGTGCCAATCTTAGGCGACCAACATAGTTGTCTTCGAAGTAATTGAGGACTGGCATGAGTTCTTCGGGTAACTCCGGTGCCAGTTCACTTATGGCAACGTCAACGTGCTCCGGGGGAACGAATGCCACGGCTGGTATCATACGGGCGTATAGAGCGAACTCCGCGTCTTGGTTATAGCGTTTCATGAGGCCGAGATCCATCAACTTCCCCTTCATGTTCTTAACCAAGTGGAACAAACAACCGTTCATCTCGGCATCGGGGAAGGTGGTTCTGAAGGCGTTGCTCAAGCCGAGTTCGAAGTCCAAAGAGACTTTGGTCGGCTTGAAGTGGGGCCAAGCGGTACAAAGTAGTTGAATCATGCGCGTGTATGAAGCCTGGCTCTTATTCGGCAGGAGCGCGTAGCAGACGGGGAAGACGAAGCCCGACCGCTCTGCGTGAACAACGAATACTTGCTGGAAGAGCTTAGGCGACAAGCTGAATGTCCCGTCGACGTATATTTTTTCTACCAGACCGATCCACTCAGCTACGGACTGACGACCGAAAATTAGGATGCGATCTTCATCGCCGTACCCGGAATCCGCAATCAGGAACGACTCTGAGTGCCCTGGTGCCGACTCGTACACTGCGTATTCGTCGGGGATCAATATCCTACTGCGGTCCGTCGGTAAAGCAGGCGCACTGGCGCAGGCTTTCCTCACAGGATTCACCGCCTAGGCCAGAGTACGGCGCGACGGGAACTCCATCTGCACGGCTGCAGACGCCCCACTCTGAACATGGTCGATGAGTTGGGCTGGAGTCTCTTGAGTCTCCTCGGCCCGACGTTTCATTTCGGTGCGTCTGTGAGCAACCTCCACGGCAGCCGCATCTGAGGGATCACTGTGTGATCCGGAGATCTCGATAACTTCACCGGTGGCTACTTCTCGGCGTAAACGAACCTTGCACTCCCGTCTGAATTGACAGCGCCAGAATTGTGTGCTCTGATCGGCACTGACCCTATCGAAAACATACATGAAACCCTGGTGTCAAAGCTTGTCTTTCCCGCGGGAAGACTTGACTATTGTCGGGCACTCAGACATGCTGCTTCTAGGAGATTAGAAAACGGGTTGGAGGATTCCTAGCTCAGGACTTCGGTTCAAATGTTTGGATGTTGCTGAACTTTGCGTGTTTTTGTTGATGCCGTCAATTGTGGCATGCACGCTTCCCAAAGGAAGCTGGGGACGTTCCACTTGTTGAGAACCTCAGCTACCGAGACCAGGATTGAGGTTGCTGAAAATCGCAACGCTTGGATACTCGACTCGGGTCTTCTCTGGTATGCCATGTATAGAGACGAGCTGAATACCCATACATTCAGGGAGATACATCCGTATTCTGCATCCCGACCACGAAGCCGACTTCCTCGTTGTAACAAACCCTGAAGCCTTCCCTCATAGATCTTTCGCACAAAATTCCTGAGAGCCGTCCCCTCCGATCGCTCATTTTCTCAAGTCCTCCCACGGCGGCCAAACGGTCCTGCGGCCAAACGGTACCGCGACCAAACGGTCCCGCGGCCAAACAGTCTCGCGTCCAAACGTCTCGCGGCCAAACGGTCCCGCGACCAAACGGTCCCGCGGCCAAACGGTCGCGGCCAAACGTCCCGCGGCCAAATGGGGTGTACCGCTCCTTTCTAGTTGGTTCCATATCCTCTCCCTTTAGCGCTTGGACCCCTCCCTTTCAGGTCGCCTAGACTCGGGAGATAGACGAGGAGCTAGTTGATCCCGTTTCAGTGGCGCCCGATGTCGTATGACGGTTTCCGCGATGGATGATGGTAAGGGGGAAGCCTCGTCCTCACTTCAAGTGTTACTCTGCTATCACCTCTACGAACTCATGATCCAATATTCTCCCGCTCCCGTCTGAGGTTCCCCTCGGATAATTTCTCGTTTTATACGACGCGAATGTTGCGCCTTGTGTCCCTTACAGGTAGCCAGGAGTCCAGTGGCATAGAAAGGAGCGGTCGCTCCCGCTTCAAAATTGCCGGACTCGACTACGTGGCTTTTGCGGAAAATGAATGGGGTAGGACAGCGGCTTCCGCACCTCGCACCTTGTCCCTGCTTCCTAGGAGAGACCTCATCGATCATTGTCGTGATCATTTTCCCCTCGTCGGCACACATGTGTATTGCCGTCTGGAAAGATCTCATTTCCGGAGTGATCAAACTCTTAACTCTCCCGTTCAGGTAACCTCAAATTGAGCGCCGATGAGGGAACGAGTCTTTCCCCCTCAAGACGCGCCGACCGTCGTGTGAAGGCTGCCGCGAAGAATATAGGTAGCGGGATAGCTTCCTCTGCTTTCTGTCTCGTATCCCTGTACCCGACTCATGAATTGAATCATGTATTTTCAAAACATCCCAAGTCCACTCCAAAAAAAAGACGACGAAGTGAAACCTGTCTGTAGTTTCCCCTAGAATATACCGATCCAGGCTTGTGGGGTCATTTTTGGAAGCCCTCGCGGAGAGCTTTCAGAAAAAAAATGTGAGACCTTACTCCCTCTCTATGTGTGTCTTCAATAAATGAAATGAGTCTTTGGACTTGGGATGTTTTGGAAATACATTTTTTTTTCAACTCGAATCTGCTCTGGAATCTCCCAGGATAGTCGTGGGAGGCTGATTTTTTTTCAAAATGTAGCTCAGGTCCTCAGCTTCCCAACGCCGCCCCGTTCGACACTGTACCTCCGCCCGTTCGGGAGTTACAGCCCTTTTAAGATTAGGCCCCTCCCTCATGGAGATAACATTGGATTGAAAACTTCCCAGGATGAATTTTTCCCTCATCTCAAAATCGCCGTAAAATCCTTCAGGATAGTCGCAGGAGGCTTGTTTTCCTTTCAAAATGTAGCCTAGCTCACCAGCTTTCCAACGCCGCCCCGTTCGACCCTATTGGTCCACTCGGTCGGAAGTTACAGGCGTTTTGAGAATGCCTCCTACGACCATTCTGGAGGACTGGAAGATTCCAGAGCAGATTTGAGTTGAAAAAAAAATGTATTTTCAAAACATCCCAAGTCCAATGGCTCATTTTATTTATTGAAGACACACATAGAGAGGGAGTAAGGTCTCATATTTTTTTTTCTGAAAGCTCTCCGCGAGGGCTTTCACAAATGACCCCACGAGCCTGGATCGATACCTTCTAGGGCAAACTACAGACAGGTTTCACTTCGTCGTCTTTTTTTTGGAGTGGACTTAGGATGTTTTGAAAATACATGATTCAATTGTCCTCCGTGCGTCTCGCCTTGTGTTTTTTTCAGGTCGCCAGGAGTCGAATGGCGAAGAAAGGAGGGGTTATTTCGTTTCAAGACCGCCGGACTCGGGGTAGGACAGCGTCTTCCGCACCTTGTCTCTGCTTTCTTGGGGAGGCCTCATCGATCATTATCATGATCATTTTCAAGGTCGTTGCTTCTACTTTTTGAATTCTTCCTTTCTTTCGAAGTGAATGTTGTGCCTTTTGTTCCTTCAAGGTTATGTTCAGTCGCGGGACGAAGACGGAGAGGGCACACGTCGTTCCCGCTCACGAAGCTCTGGACGTCCCTCTGGACATGGCGAAACCGAAGATTTTTGGGTGGGTGTTGGTGTGCCTTGCTCATAGATTGGTACTTTTGTCAACGGTTGGAGATGAGCAGGCGCCCCAGGAAGAAGTTTCTGGTCAGATGAACCCACTATCATTCGAATTCCTCCTCGGCGGGGTTCAGCACGTGATATACGTCCTCGCGGAGCCTTTTCCTCTCTTGAGGGTCCTCCGAACCTGAGAGCTTCATACAACCACATGTAGCGCGGTTCGCATGTAGTCCGGGTTTCCTCAGTCCCTTCCTCAATCCTGATAGCGCTCCCCGTTGGTTGCAGGGATAACGCTGCATTGTTCCGAGATTATTCCGTGCGTGAACCACACTTCCGTAGAGGTGCTGTCGCGTTTCCGAGAGCGTGCGACCGCGGAGAATCTCGATGAGATCCTTTTCGGTGCCTTGAGCAGGCTCGGACTCTCAATAGGTGACGTGAAAGGAATCACCACAGACGGAGCGGCCGTCATGAAGAAGCTGGCCTCCATTTTGGCGAGACGCGTCGCTCCCGACATTTTCTATCTTCAGCTAGGCCTTGCGCATGGGCTGCATCTTGCGGTCCTCGATGCCTTGAAAGGTAACACTCAAGCAGCAGCTCAGAAGGACGAGACTACCGGGACGGAGCCATCGAATTGGAGCCTTGCCGGGATATCGAAAAGCGACGTCGAGCAAGAAAGTAGGTATTTTGCGTCATTTTGTGAGGGAACGCAGTCGAATGCGACTCGAAAAGACAATGCTCATTCGTTCATTTGTTCCAACCTGACGCGAACGCGGTTCCTTCGTTGAATTCTACAGAAATCCTCCTCGAGGAGCTCGATGAAGACTAGCTGCAGGACCGCCGGTATATCAAAGTGATGCCGGAAACCTCATCGCCAGGGTCCGAGATGGAACCCGAGTCTTCACGTCGAGCCACGCTTCGAAGGATGAATTCCTGAAGGAATCTGGGGCTTCGGGAGTGAGTCCGCTCCTCGACGTCAAGACCAGGTGGAACTCGACCTTCCGAATGGTGCGCAACTTCGTCAAACAGGAGCATGCTTCACGAAGGTTCTACAGCAGGCGGAACCTCACGTTTCCCATCACGTCGGCTGAGATGCTCACTCTCGAGGAAATCATGAAGGCTCCAGGCCACGTTAAGGAAGCTGTGCTGCAGCTGTCACGCAAGGTTACGACCATAAGGAGAGCCGATCTGGCTCTCGAGGTAACATTCCGCCCATCCAGGTATCCAGTTAAGTTCAGCCTATTTTCGCATAGAGCCACTCGGGAAACTAATATTCATCCTGCGGGCGATGATGGGCAAAGTTAGGTTAGGTCGGACTGAGTCGTCGGACTTCGCAAGAACACTCTATCGAGCTCTCTGCATCAGAATATTGCGAAGACGACGGGTCACTTGGAGGCTAGCGCGACCCACCCACAGAAGGGAAGAGGTCACTGACCTCGATAGATTGCTATTTCGAGCCAGAGAAGAGATAATCGAGCGCGGTGATGAACGTCTGCTTCGTACGTTCCTCGATCCAGGGAGCATGTCGCAAGAAATCGCGAAATACAGACGGAGAGTAAGAGGAGGAGCCGGGCCATCGCTCGAAAGGGGTCGCTAGGGAAGAGGAAGAAGGGCCTCGAGACGTTTACGAGACGTTCGCTGATAGCGACCGCGAAGAGTAAAGCTGAGTACGGCGACCGCCAACATCGGAGTAAGTGATCAGGTACCACAAGAAAGGTCACACAGCCCTGCCAGTCGCCCTCGTACAAACCTTGAGAACCCCACACGCGACCAGCGTTCAAGCGGAATGCGCCCTCAGCAAGGCACGACACGCCAGTAGATACTGTCAGAAGAGGCAAGTCGATGAGAGATTCACGAAGTACCTCTTTGTGGAAGATTACCTCTCGAAAAGAAGCTCATGTGAGGAGCTCCTCGAAGCAGCGCGGAAAGGAACACAAAAATTCCGGAAAGAACTCATATCGGGGAGCTCTGATTTCGTATCAGAAACACATGTCCCTTGATGATGTCGCTATTTCAATCACAACGACTCCAAGATTAATGCGCCGACCATTTGAGAAGATCACGGCCTCGGACAATTCCATGTGCCCATTTGGCCATCTGCACGAGAGCATAGTGTGAGATTGCAAGTCTGTGAGGGAGCGCTGAAGTGCTGTGTCGGGTCAAAGGGTCAGAAAATACAAAATACTCATTGATTGGGCAGCAATCAGCGGTGTAGCATGCTGCAATGATCATAATTTTCATTCGTGTCGCGGCAGCTTGAATGCCCCATTCTCAGATGACGGACCTCGGGCCGATAACGATCCTTCGAGAACGGCTGAGATCTGCACCTGATTGAAGGCTATGAGCATTATTATGAGGCTTCGGTCCTATGATAAGTTCACATCCGATGTATGCTGTGAATTACATCGCCTTTGAGAGGCAAAGCAAACGTCGTG